TCGCGAGCGAAAGAAAGAAAGAAACTGCGGTATAAATACGAACTCACGGATTGCTCGCTAATAAGTAGGATTAAACTCGAATGTCTCGTTTCCCTTTACAGAAATATAAAGAAAAAAAACTAGGGCTTATAAGATTGAGCAGATCGAAAAATGAACATATTTCTAAATGATGATAACATGTTTCGCAGATTAATACACTAATGATTTGTTCATTCAACATTATTATATATTATTACTTAATTTATTTGTATTTAGCTTATTTTGTTTTGTTTTAATTTTTTATTTAATTATTGCAAATTTTTTTCTATCACACATATTTATACATATATTTATATATCGACGATATAAATGATTGTATATATATAAATGCTATTTCTACTATTTCTTTAATGGCAATGATATCAAGCGATACTAGAAGCATGTTGAAATGCAACAATTTTAATTTTTCAAAAACCTTGTGTAGTATAATAGATAAAATTTACTTACATGATTAGTGTTGAGATTCCGCAAAAACGTAATGAAACAAGCGACAATGTTTCACCCTCGGAATAACCATGCACGTAAATCTTGTCTGTTATGGACTGCACAAGCTTGTTTGAAAAATTTTTGTATATTTAAGCGTTCTCGATCTGTCATTTTCGTTTCTAGATAGTTTCCTCTAAATAATGTATCAAATCATCGTAAATAAAATTATAGAGAAAGAGCGGAAGGAAGAGAAATATTGATAACATAATAATATTATATAATAACTAACGCACATGTGTGCAAAAAATGAGTTCTTATGTACTTATAAAATCATCTTGGATTCTTTTCTAAAAATCTAAACGATTTGAAGGTATATAATATGTGGATTAACAAGAATTCGTAGTAAATACGAGTTTTATTTTTTATAACTTTATTATTATTTATTATATTTACATATAATTAAATATAATTACGATATAATTCAAATTCCATATAATAAATAAAATATATTTTCTAAAAATCGATTTTTAATTATATTTATATATATAATTTAATTATATTTAATAAAATATTAAATTGTAAAAATTGTGAAAATAAAATATTTAAAAAATCTTTAAATTGACAAAAATCATCTTGACAGTTTTCTTTTAAACTATTGTAATTTTTAAACCGCTCAACCAAAAACGATTCTAAAGAAGACTGCGCATTCAAATTATAGTTATCTTAAAGTCGGGTGCTAGTCATGATTTTAATATTTATTTTTTACATTGACTTAACAAACGTAATACTATCATTCTCCATACTAAATAATTAATCTTTCAAAGTCAGGTGCCAGATTCACGTGACAGAATGCGCGAAATATTTAAGTTCGAGAAAGTCTTTAACCCGAGATAGATCGATGTCGATCTTAAAGCGGAGAAATTGAAGAATAATCCTCACATATTTTAAACTTTTAAAGATTTTATTATGAATTTATTATAATCAATGCGAGTTTCTCTCTCTATTTAAGAATACTACTAGATTCTAGTAATAATTTATATCTCTAGAAATTTTTATGAATTATTTTCTCTAGTTTACATGTACTACATAGGTACCCAACTGATTTCCCGAAAGCAAAAATAAAGCAGATATTTAAATAAGAAACGCTATTTCAAAAATATATGCATAAATAAAAAATCGTGTCGGAGAACTGAAGAACAAGTTCTTCCAACAGTGTTAAGACATATACAATTTTTTATGTGGGTGTAGGCAACTTCCTCATGATTAAGTGAAGCCACAATTTTTCGTACGCCTAATTTTTCTTATTAACTTGATTCTGGGTGAGCTCGAGAACCTGCGTTTCGCATCTTTGCCTCTTAATTTAAAAAATTTTTTTAATTTTTTAAATAGGAGAGCACTTTAAGAATATATCAAATCGATTGCGTAGTAATTAATTAATTTTAATTAATGTTTTAATTTAAAAAATTTTTTAATTGGTAAAACTACAAACGATATCATTTTCTGTTTTTAAAATATTAATTTTTAAAAAGTTATGCGCTAATTGTAAGTTCGCATAGGTTGCGCATACCTATGCAAAATATCGTGACACGCACGTACAGTCGATGTGTTCAGCTTTAAGATTGATATCGATCTATTTATTGTGCATTTCTGAGTGTGAAACACAAATCTGTAAATAAAAATTGTCACTGTCAAAAAAAAGTTACAATTGTTCCGTTTCTCGTTTCCCCTCTCCCCCTCTTCTTTGTAGTGATGCCGAATTTTAATTTACAGATTCTTTTTTATGCACAAAAATACACAATATTGTAAATGTGTTATATTGAATTTATCTGGACACGGAGTCCGGTCAAAACTTAGACATATATTTTATTCCATCTCTTTATCGATAAATATTGATATAAATAGTTCGACTTACATTTCGATTCTTCTCACCATACTCCGAATTCCTCGCCGGCGTCATTTTTTTCCAGCAGGAACCAACCTCTGTATCGGGAACTGTCCGCGTAAAAACTGAAATACTTTACACTCGCGTTACTTTTTTTTCGTTCGCGACGAGCGGCGACGTCCGGGTTTTAAATATTTCACATTTTCGACACGTTTCGCTAAAACGTGAAAATCGCGGGAGCTTATTCGCGCACGAAAACCGATGCTCTGTTTTCGCGTCGCCGCTTTTTTCAACGCTCCTTATCGAACGATAGCGACTTCCCCGCGAAGCACTCAGAAGTCGCCTTTATTCGAAAATTGGCCACTACACTACACTATATTTCAAATTCCACTTATTCCAGAGAATGGACACTACACTTCACTATATTTATCCGAACTCGAGTCGCGTCACTCGCGCCGCGACCTCTAGCGGTGGCTAGTGGCCCACCACTGCGACTCGGCGCTGCCCGAAGTTTTGGCGGGAAAGTGTAGATGAGATTATACACCTTGACGGATTTCCGGGCACAATCCCGCTTTTTCTCGATGTAATTTGGCACCATTTTTGCGTCGGTCTATCTGTGAATAAAAATTAATATATTATTTTTACTATAAACATTATTTATACATATATAATAAATGAAGTAGATTTATATATTTTTTATATTATATATTTTATTATATTTATATTTTTTTATATTATACATTTTATATTTATATATTTTTTTATATTATATGTTTTATTATATTTATATATTCTATTTTGATGAAACGAAAGCATTATTTTTCAGTAGTTTTTTCTCTGCATTAATTTTTCGACAAATTGTTGGAAATTTATTTTTTCGAGCTGTATTTTCGACCTTTCTAGGCATAATTTCTCGTTATCCTTTTTCTTACATTTTAACTTCAAGTATAAAAAGTATATATTACGGTGCAATTAATGAAAAAGAACGAATCTATGTAAATAAGATAAAAAATTAGAAAATTGATACCACGTGGAATTATGATTTGTTACTTCAAACACACGTAAATCGGAGAAACAATCTCTGTAAGCGAGAAAAAAACTCACATTTTTATGCAGGAGAGAATCGTCAGCCGGTGATCCTTCGGATTTTCATCGACGATGCTTCTTCACAGAAACATTCGGCCATATTGACTAATCGCGACGGCATGAATGAACAAAGAATGTATGTAGCAGTGAAACTTGGTCCAAACTGACAAAGAGATTCCATCGTACGCTCTTACTACTCAATGATCTCAAATAATTCATTCACTCTTATTAGAGTAATGCTGCGTATGAAACGCGTGAAAAACAATAAACACGCTTGTACCTTCGAACAACCTTCGCTTGTTGATACCGGACCCGGGACTACTCTGTTGAGTAGAGGGATAACACGTGCATGCGCGCCACCTAAAGGCGTATGCGCATGCGCATGCTGCTGCCCGGCAGTAGTGCCTGAATGTAATATTTTTAATTTTTTTTGTCATTTTTTTATATTAATTTTTCTGATTCATTTTAGTGATTCTTTTTAATTTTAATTTTATTTGTAATTTTAATTTACAAAGGGAACCATTATTTATATATATATATATATTTATAATTAATTTTTTTATTTACATTAATCACTTTTCCTTATACATATATTCCTATATGAAAGGAAAAATTACAATATATTGTTTCTACTTTTCACATTTGTACGAAAAAATTCATCGTAATAAAACTGACATTTCATGATTTTTTTTTACGATAATACAGAAATTAAATATATATTATACAAATTATAAAAGATATATTAGTAATATAAAGAGGTAATTTCTTTTTTTGCGAATAATATTTCTCCCGCTCTACTTTTATATAAAATATAAAATTACTTTCTTCCTTATACATTGTTTGTTATTACAGTCTTACAGAGAGAGATTATACTTAAATATTAATATCATATATATAGTACAGTTCTAATATAAATATATGTCAATTTTTATCGGCATATATTATCGATTTCAATGGCGTTGTACAAGACAAAACTTTCATTACTGCTATATTTAAGTAACTTATATAAACGTTCCTTAAAATTTTACGTTACAAAGTACATATTTAATATTTACATTACAGAAAATACAAGCGAACAATATTCGATAGCTATATGTAAACATTTTTACATGTAAGACCTAAGCAAATTTGCTTTATATGTTCAAGTTTACATATGATTCTTAATATATTCTTAATATATTACAAAGAGAAGAAAACATTCTTTCTTATCACTAGCACCATTTTTAGTTTTAGAAAATTACAAGCGCAGATCATTTGCATTGAATTAAAAATTAAAAGATAAAAAATATCTAAAATCCTATATAAAATCTATACATTAAAATGAATAGATTACAATAATAAAAGAAATAAATATAATAGAAAGTATATATTTTAAAACATATTTAAACATATTCAAATATATAGAATATATAGAATATATAGAATATATATAGAATAAATAAATATATATATATATACATATATATATATATAATTATTTATATATATGTTATTAAATATATAACAAAATATATTTAAAATATTTTTGAAAATAAAATCATTTTATGTACACAGTCATGGGAAAAATACAAATTAAATTTAAATTATTACTACGAGGAACATTGCATATATTAATAGGAAAAAATTTAAGAGACTGATTAATAAGCTGAGCGTATAATTGTACATCGATTGCTATGTAAATTATGTAAAATTCAAATTGGACGGGGATTTTTTTTGGCACAAACTGGTCCATAGCTTAATGGCACTTTCACGCCACTTTTGAAAGTGGATACATTAAACGTATCATTACACTTGATCCTCTAAAGTTGTTCTACTATATCATGATCATTTTTATAAGAAGACTGTTTAAAACTGCTTTTTTGAGAATGTTTTGTCCTTTGTAATTCTTTAGCAAAGTATATAATAGTTTTCTTGAGGCCTTCGGCCAAAGGAACCTTTGGTTCCCAATTCAAATATTTTTTGGCTCTACTGATATCCGGTCTTCTTCTCTGCGGATCGTCTTCGACTGCCGCGAGTTCAATTATCTCACTAGTAGCACCCACCAAATTTTTAATTATGCGCGCAAATTCTAAAACAAATTAAAATGTTAAATTTTAAACAATCGTAAAAAAAACTTGGAAAAATTATTTATGAAACAAACAACTCTTACTTTCGATTGTATGCTCCACAGGATTTCCGATATTCACAGGCAAGGTATAATTAGATGCCATCAACGTTACTAATCCGTCTACCAGATCGGAAACATATTGAAACGATCGCGTCTGTTTTCCACTGCCGTAAATTGTAATTGAATTATTTTGCAAAGCTTGGAGGATAAAGTTCGATACGACGCGACCGTCATTCATGTGCATTCTGGGTCCGAAGGTATTAAAAATTCGTGCTACTCGGACCGAGACACCTTCTTGTCTCATATAAGCGTAGCTCAATGTTTCGGCGACTCGTTTTCCTTCGTCGTAGCAAGCTCGTGGACCTACATATACATATTATATATAAAATTTCAGTCAATTATTAAGTAAACGATATAGAAAAAATCCAGCTTACCGATAGGATTTACATGACCCCAGTAGGTTTCTGCCTGTGGATGTTCATTAGGATCTCCGTATACTTCCGACGTACTCGCAATTAATACTCGCGCGCCGACTCGTTTCGCCAATCCTGAAATATCATCGATAATAAGCAGTGTTTGTTATTATCTAAATAAAATTATATAGATGATCATCTAGATAAAATTTTGGCGTCATCTCATCTTTATATAGATAATAGAAGTATATTTTATCTATAGCTATTTTTGTCTTAGATGAAAAATTGTTATCTTTATTAAATTATCTAGACTAATGTTCAGATAATTTGGTTTAGAGTCATAACACATAAAGATACTTAAGTAGAAAGCAATAAAAATTTATAAATCAAAATATTAATATATTTTTATATGCCTTTATAATTGATATATTTTTTATAATTATGTTTGCATAAGCGGTCTTAAAAATCATATTATCTGGAAATCATCTAGATAAATCGCCATATAATTTAGACTTTTATCTAGATATATTTAAAACAAAATTATCTTCATCTTCTCTAATCATATAAGATAAATTTACATACATATTTTTATCTCATCTTTATCTAGCTAATTAAAAAAAATCATCTAAGCATAACAATGATAATGAGTAACAAGATTATTTCTATTTTTTAGATTCATTCCTATTCCGTTGATACCGGATCTACCCACCCAACATGTTTATGGTTCCCAATGTATTCGTCTTGATGGTCTTCACCGGATTTAACATGTAATGCGGCGGACTGGCCGGACTGGCGAGATGATATATCTCATCGACCTCCAGGTACAGCGGCCTCACAATATCGTGATGCACCAGCTCGAAGTTCTCGTGACCCACCCAGTGCTCGACGTTTCGCTTCCTGCCGGTGAAGAAGTTGTCGACGACTATCACCTCGTGTCCGGCGAGCATCAGACGATCCACCAGGTGGGAGCCGACGAAACCCGCGCCGCCAGTAACAAGTATTCGCTTCCGGTTCTTGTAATTCAGGAACTTCACGGTCGGGAAGTCCTTGGCAACCCCATTCTTGATCGCCGCCTCCAGGTGTTGCAGCTTACCCTCCAGCTCGCGAATGCGAATCTTCGCCTCCTCGATGTTCTTGATGTCCCCGTCCGATGGCTCATCCTCGACGTCGCGAATCTTTTCAGTCGCTGCTTCGACGACGTTTTCGTTTCTGACGTCCAAATTGATCTTATCTCCGCTGACGAGGGCGCGATGTCGACCGCGGCCGAAAGATCTTTCCTCTTCGGTAGTCACGAGAGTTTTATAAAAACCCAAGACTGCTAAAAGTGAGAGAACAACATTAGGTACGTTTAAAATTTTTAAATTAATTTTATTTAAATTTTATTAAACATTATTTATATTAATTATTATTTTCAAAAGTTTATTTAAATTTTCATTTAATTAAAATATTTTAAATTTAAATTTTTGATTTTTAATTATTCTTTTAATTCAATTTCACGATAATATAATTATTTATAATTCCAAAGAAAAAAAAAATATATATATATACACATATATACTCTCTTTGTGAAATAAAATCAAGTGAATACATCTCGTTGACATTTCATATCTTATCAATTGATACTTGCAATTAATGAAAAAATGCTTTAAATACGTTATATAAATACTATTTATATTATTCGTCAAATTGTTTTATAAGTAACATGTAAAAATTACATATAAAAGTCAAGAATGCTAAAGCGAAGGAGCGAAAAACATTAGGCATATTGTCTTAATTTATATTATTTTAATTTAAATTTAATTTAAAATTTTTTAATTTTTTTTTCATTAAATTTCACGATAATATAATTATTTATTATTCTAAAGAAATAATGATATTTCGTATCTTATCAATTGATACTTTTAGAGGAAAAATACTTTGAACGTACATACAGATACACACAAAAATACGTAAAATACAGATTATAAAAACATAAGACCGCTAAAAGCGAGAGAAAAGTAATATTTAAAGCACATTTTTTGTATTCTTCTCTATCGATTTCATTATTGAATTAAGTCTTACAATTAATTTTTAATTAAATTATTCATTTAAAAGTTTCACGATAATTATTTATAATTCACAACATTTATTTATAATTCTAAAATAGCTGTAAATATTTCTTCTTTAGGAATAAAATCAAGTAAATGTATCTCGTTGACATTTTGTATCTTATCAGCTGGTGCTTAATAAAAAAATGTTCTGAATGAGCACATATAAATAATATTCACATAATTTGTCAAATTGTTTTACATTTACACAATTACATGTATGCTTATACAGATTATTAGATCTCATTGTCAGCAAAATTTTTAAATTAATGTGTCGAATTTTTCACGTCTTACAGAATTTCAGCTATTTTTTTATTAAAATATTATTCTCTCTTTCTACCTATTATTTATTTAATAACAGTTTTCCTAAGGATAAAATAAGTTGGTAACTAATATCAAAACTTTCCCCCCCTCTTCTACGACTAGTGTATTCAAAATATCTCGCTAAGCATGCTTTAGTTCAGTGGTACTCAACACGAACAATTAATTACGCTGTTACGTAAATTATGCTGTACATTCGCGCTCTGAGAAAGCTCTTTAATTGTCAGTAAGTTGGAAAATTGTCGATTGTTATTGTTGTTTTTACAGAAGACAATGCGATAAAATTTTTAAAAGTATCAATTTTTTAATTTGCACTCAATAATATTTCATGCATTAAATATTTAAAAATAATTAAAACAGCATTTTTAAACATTGAAAAAGAAAGAAAAATTTGATTAATTTTTCATAATGGAACCAAGAATTTCATCATAGAAAATTTAGAAAGTTCAATAAAATTAAGTAGATAATATTTCTCGATAATGTTACAAAATTACATTAATAAGTTATGAAGCAGAATGATTCGATCAATTTATAAAATGCGTTCCTTATCGAACAGCTGTTTTTTGCACACTTCTGTTTTTCTATCGATAATTCTTCGTGCAGTGTTTAATGTACACTTGGGAGAAACCTTTTAATTTTCGAGATAAAGTTTGAATTCAAAAAACACATAAGAGCCTGCTAAGATATCTTACGCTATTTTTAATGCATAACTATAGTTATAATTTAGCGTTCTATATAGTAGTAGTATATATTTAGTACAACTATATATAAATCACACACACACACATATACATAAGTCAACATTAATTACCATTATATAAACGTAACATGTAAGCATAAAACGACGTGTTGTATAAACGACATATTACAAAAAAAACAAGGAAACAGAGAGAAAGCTATAAAATTTAAAAAATCGCAATTTGATGTCAAAATTCGTAGAATCGGAAAATAATGTTTAAAATGGCGTTAATAAGACCATACAAAATTCGATCATTTATTATCCCGCTTTTTTTTTTTACTTTAACGTTGTGTATCATAAATAAACAGCTCGTGGTGCATCGAGAAGTCAAATTTACCATCATCGCGAGATACAGACCCTCTCGTTATAACCTTGAAAAATCACACTTACCTAATAATACGCAAACCCCAAAGATCGCAACCTGCTTCATCTTTCGTTGCGTGATAACCATGCTTTAAATTTGCACATGACTCGCTCGAGTCACACTCACGCTTACGTCATTCGCTCGCCGCGTAACGTAACACGTAAATAAATACGACCGAGCCACTTTGTCTCGTCCACTTCCTCGAAATATGTATACACACGGGAGAGAGAAACATAACCTTCAACCTCGACACAACTAGACACGGGGTTCGATCGCTTCTAACCTATCCTTATTATCCTACGGCGCTTGCACACGCTCACATGCGTCCGCGCATGCGCGCTGTCAGCTGTCACCTCGCGGTAACGTACGCGGCGCGCCACGTGGCGTCACCTGTCATCCCGTGATGACGTAACGCGGCCGAGCGGCGCGCCACGTGGCGCCATCTGGCGGTGCGCGCTCAAAGCTCGCGATCAGCTGTTGTACCGTTCGCCGCTGACATAACCTCAAAGGGAGGCGCCTGGCGCGTTCGGGGCGCACGCAGGCGCAGATCCCGTTTTTTGATTGATATATAAGGCCGTGGCGGAGTACAAAGGAAACATCCCGAGTGCGGTTTTTCCTACAGTCACGGTGGCATTCGAAATATGGCAGGCGTCATCGATTGTAACTTTCCTGTTTGGGGCCTGCTGCCTAAGAAAGAGACGGGTGTCACGCAGTTTCTCACCAAGTATCCCGAATACGATGGCCGAGGCGTCGTCATGGCGATCTTCGACTCGGGGGTGGACCCCGGGGCCCGGGTATGCAGGTACGAAGGATAATAGGGATGAAGGATAACGTCCAGGGTCCGACATTTGGTTATATTGTGGGATACACGCCTATACTTATTACTAGAATTTTCCTCGGACCCCTCCTTTCTTGGCCCCGAAATGACATTTCGCGGAAATAATCGTCCTGAATTAACAGATAACGCTCGTCTTCCTCGTCATCATTTCGAGCACCTTCTGTATAGCTTCCGAATTGTCTCCTTGAAAAATAAAATGTTAGATGGACGATTTTTGTTATCACAGTTTGTGTAAAAAATATTTTGATACAAAAATATTAACTGCTATATTTATATTTTACACAGATTTCTTGAGACTAATTTTCAATCTTAAAACCTACTTTAACAATAATAACGCTTATTGTGTTAGAATCTTGTAACTTTTGTAACTATGTCTATATTAGCAATGTCATTGCATATAATATTACTTATTCAGCAAAAAATTCTGTAGTTATAGTATTTGTTATACAGGATAGACCATTTTAATCAATTCACGCAGATTTCTCATAAAATAAGCAAAATAGAAAAATGTGTTTTATACAAAAGTTGTTGGATTTAGAGGGAGACATTTGATGAAGATTTTGACCCTGCCTTGGAGTCAAATTTGGGGGTCATTTTAAGGTCAACTTGATTTTCTTAAATGGAACCACCAATTTTTGATATCATTTTTGTAGCTGATGTCGAGACCTTTCCAAAGCACTATAATAAAACATTTTTCCATTCAGTACTTTTTGAGTTATAAAGGTTTGAAGTTAACAATTTTTTGACATAAAATTCTTTTAAAAAAATATGTTGCAAATTATAAACATCCTTTTTAAAGCAATTATGTTTTCTTTACATCGATTAATTGGTCTCATTATTCCATGCATAAAGTATTAAGGTATGATTACTGAAAACTAAATATTTTGCAAGATATTTTACATTTTATGTCAAAAATTGTTAACTTCAAACCTTTATAATTTAAAAAATACTTAATAGAAAAATGTTTTATTATAGTATTTTGGAAAAGTCTCGACATCAGCTACAAGATATGATATGAAAAATTGGTGGTTTCACTTAAGAAAATCAAGTTGACCTTAAAATGACTCCTAAATTTGACTCCAAGGTCAGGGTAAAGGTCTTCATCAAATGTGCCCCTCTGAATCCTACAACTTTTGTACAAAACATATTTTTCTGTTTTGCTTACTTTATGAGATATCTACGTGTATTGATTAAAATGGTCTATCCTGTATATATTTTTTTTATATTCTGTAATTTTTATGAAATTTATAGTTTTACAACAATAAGTTTCTTATAATATACATGATTTTAAATATGCAAGATGTTAAAAAAATAATTTATATCAAAAGAATAAAGAATTCTCTTTGACAGGATTAATTTTATTAAACTTATTAGAGGTTAAAAAATAAATTTATAAGATTTTTTTTACTCAACTTAATATTTTCTGCCCTAAAATCTTGAATTTTTTCTTTAAACTTGTATGTCTACATATTACTAACTTTTGATCAATTGTTTTCAGTCAGCTTAAACTTTTTATAAATCATGTTAGCTTACAAAACAATTTAATTTTAATATTTTATTTTAAAAAGTTTTTTTAGTAAATAGATTGATTTTGCAAAAAGTTTATTAATACATGTATAAAAATATATGTAAAAAGAATAATAATAATATTACTTTATAAATAAATAATTTGGGATTCAGGTGACTTCAGAAGGCAAACCAAAAATTATTGAAAGATTTGACTGCAGTGGAGCAGGAGATGTAGATACTAGCAAAGTTGTTCAAGCACCGGATGGATATATAATTGGCCTGACTGGTCGTAAATTAAAGGTGGGTTTATCAAACATTCTACTGCACATTTAGAAGAGATATGTCAGAAAAGAATTTTGTCGCATAGTTTCTGCTTTTAATGTGATTGTTGGATATACATAGTAAATGATTAATTTATAATTTAAATGCTGCTTTCATATAGCAATTAACTTATTTACTTAAAAGTAAAATTTTTATAGAAAAGTATATAAAAATAATAATTTCATAAAAATTTAAAAATTGTTAGAAATAAATTATACAAAATGTATATTTTTATTTTTAATATAACATTTTACATTTTTTAATGTTTAATGTTTAGGTTCCATCTAATTGGAATAATCCCACTGGAGAATATCACATTGGTTTAAAAATTTGTATTCATTATATCCTACTAAATTGAAGGAAAGAGTAGTGGCAGAACGTAAGAAACATCTTTGGGATGATGGTCATAAAACAGCCCTTGCAAAAGCTTCGAGGCAATTACAAGTATGATACAAGAATGTAACAATAGAATTTTTTATATATAAGATACTCTCTCTAATAATTTTTTTAACTAAACTTTAAACTAAAGTTATTTATCTTTTATTCTTTCTGATCATATCTTAAGACGAATTTCAAATTAAAATCTTTTAAAGTTTTCTTTGCAATATAAGTATAACATAATCTATATTTATATAATGATTTTATTTTATATATTCTAATAATCATAATATTGCTGACATATCGCAATATTTATTAAAAATCAATGAAAATGTATCTCAGTACATTATAATTAGAGTTCTAGTCCATGTGATCCAAAGATAGGAGTGTTGTGAGCATGTTGAACCATGCAATTAAATCAGGTCGCTATTTCACAACACGTCACAGTAATCCGTATCTAATGCTATATTTGTATTTGGCAGATTGATCAATTGTAAAGACATTGATTCCATTATATAATATATCCACTTAAGCAAAGTCATTATGTTAACTATGTACTATTCTTATTAATTTGATTTTTTGTGCCAATATATAATCTAAAATTATTTTTAAATGTACAAAAAATGTATGTGTGCGTAGGTACACAGAAAATATATAAATTTTAAATTAAAAAATTTTAATTAAACACTTATCAAAGTTTAAAGATCTTGTATTGTTAAAATGATATATTATTTAATAAAATATTTAATGATAATGAATTATATATATATATATATATATATATATATATATATATATGTATACATATATATATTATTGTTTAAGTTATAATTCATTCTAAATAATCATAATGCATAGGAATTCGAGAGCAAGAATCCACAGTTGTCGACTTTGGAAGAAAGACTGCAAAAAGAAGAATTTGAAGCTCGAGTTGAAGTATTAATTAACATAGAAAAAAATATTGTGATGTAGGACCTACTTATGATTGTGTTGTTTTCCATGATGGTAACATTTGGAGGTAAGAATATTGAAATACATAATCATAATATTAAATATACGTATATCTATTTAAAATAAGTAAATTATTTATGTTTGATTAACATTTATCTTTCTCATGTTAGAGCGTGTATCGATACGTCCGAGGAAGGTAATCTGGAAAATGGCGTTTATCTCGGTGAATATTCTATTACAAGAGATTTTGCGCCTCTCACTCAAGAAGATCAATTAAACGTTAGTATTAATGTCCACGATGAAGGAAATATGTTAGAAATTGTCAGTTTATGCTGTAAGTATAACAAGAAATTATTTTGACATTTTATTTGTAAAATCTACTGTGTATTTCTCGAAACAATTTCTTTCAATGGAATCATATTGCAGCAAGTCATGGAACACATGTAGCATCAATTGCGGCAGCATTTTTCCGGATAATCCAGAATTGAATGGAGTGGCTCCAGGAGCCCAAATTATTTCGCTAACTGTTGGTGACGGACGTATCGGTACAATGGAAACTGGAACTGCCGTAGTACGGGCAATGATCCATATAATGCAGCGTAAAGAAAAAATTCACGTTATAAACATGAGTTACGGAGAACATGCTCATTGGTCGAATACTGGTAGAATAGGAGAACTGATGAATGAAGTTATTGACGAATATGGCGTAGTCTGGGTCGCATCTGCTGGCAATCTTGGACCGGCTTTGTGCACCATCGGTAAATATATATATATATATATATATACATAAATTTCTATAAGTAGCTTTTGTTCTATAATTATACTTGTGCTTCTTCAAAATTAATTTTCTTACCTAATACAATCTATACTATTATTATATATTCATGCAGAATTAATCTCTCTAAAGCCTTGTGTCCACGATACTAAAAATTGATCCGAGTTCTCGGACCGAGAAATGTGTAGCCAATGAAATTGCTGTCTTTCCGTAAAAACTGCATATACTAATTGGTTACACATTTCTCGGTCCGAGAATTCGAATCAATTTTTAGTATCGTGAATTTAGTATGCAATGTGTGTTCGATATCTTCATGTATCCAAATACTTTGAAAAATATATAGGAACTCCGCCAGACATCAGTTCAAACAGTATTATTAGCGTTGGTGCTTACGTATCGCCTGATATGATGGTAGCTGAATATTCTTTAAGAGAAAAGATGCCAGGTATGCCATATACTTGGTCCTCCCGCGGCCCTATGATAGACGGAGGCGCCGGTGTAACAGTATGTGCCCCAGGAGGTGC